GTCACTGCGCCGAGAAACCATTGAGTTTTTCATAGCGCCGCGACTTTCCTCGCAATATTAATGTTCTTATTACAGAGATTAAGGGATGAAACGGGAATTGTTGGGTGGGGAATTTAATTCTCCATCGAACAGCGTTGGTTTCATTCCTTAATATTAATTAGGAGAAAAGAGACCATTTTTTAATTAGCGGGCGAATTAATGGGGAAGCGCTCTGCGCCGGAAAACCATTGAGTTTCTTATAGCGCCGTGACTTTCGTCGCAATATTAATTTTTTTATTGCAGAGATTAAGGGATGAAACGGGGGTTGATGGATGGGGAATTTAATTCTCCATTGAACAGTCTTTGTTTCATCCCTTGTCGACGAAACGTCGCGATTTGACAATAAATTAGTATTGCTGAACTCTTCCAAAATCCCATTAATTATTCCTCTTATTGTTAACCATGGAAATGAACACCGTTATCAACTTTAAAATGTTTGTTTTAATGCCACTAATTCGAAGTTCATAGATGATTACAATAGCTATTTTGGTTGATTTGATTTTCATGATTGTTGAAAATTTCGAATTTTTTTTTTCATGAATTTACCGGGAAGTGAGCTTTCTGATTGTTTCTTCCAATGCGATGTTTCAAATTCATTCAAATATGTATAAATAAAATTTTTCTATTAACATTGTATCGAAGGTCTGAGGGGGGTGATAGAACCATAAGAAAAGACAATCGGTTGGACAGAAGAAAGGGATAAGAAGAATAATGACGATGATAACATTGAGCTAAGTTGAAAATCGGACAAAATTTGTTTTTTTTAAATTATTTAATTTAATAAAATGAGATACGTAATGAATTCTCTTTATCGACCTACACTCAACAATCAGTGCCAGAGCCAGTGTTTTCGACGGGAGCATGGTTCCCTTCATTTAAGCAGTTTCCGCTGCTTAAATCACCCCAGAACGTCCAGCGTCAATTCCAGCACTCCAACGCAATGTCCTGGTCACTCTCCGGATCTTCCAGTATATTCGGAAAATCCTCATCCAGTTGCCCGCCGCACATAACCCAACCTGTCACAACAGTGGGCCATGTGAGTCGTTTTGTTCTTCACTTATTCTGTCCGGTCTCTGGAGCTTTTCTCTAACTATTATTATTCCTCAGAGTTAAGAGAATGATCTTGAGTTTCCTCTCGGATCTAGGGCTTCACTTTTAGCACTCAGATCCTGGATAACCCTTCGGGATGCTCTCCAGGCGATTTCACCTCTTCTCAGGCAACTCCATGGGACTCTGGGTTTTTTCTTCCACTGACATGCCTTTGCTGGTGCTCCATACTGCTTCTCCAGTCAACACTGGACATTCAGAGAGTGGAAAAAGACACGGAGTGGCACTAACATTTCTTTGTGCTGATTCTCATACTACAGGATCCGGGATGACTTATCCACTATTATTTACACATTTTCGGGAACTACGGGTAAAAGCGCGAGAGAGACTATGCTCTCCTATTTAATTTGATAATCATTTAACTTTAATGATGGCTACCCTCGAATTATCCGGGTTTTAAGTGACCTTCGTCACAAGTTATACAACAAAACAATTGTATATTTACATGTCAGACATATTTTGTTCCAAACTTTGTGTTTGGGTTCTATCGTTCCTTTCTGAATAATTTCCCTTTTTTTCTCACCCAGCAGATTACGAATAGCAGCATATTATTCGATCCAGATATATGCTGTTGAAGAATTTTGAATATACTTCTTGGAAATTTTTATCGCATCATAACTTCACTCAAATTTGGGAGAATTTCGTCACTGAAAATTCAGAACTTGATGTAAAAAATCAATATAAATTGTAAATTGGGAGGTTTTAAATTTCCGTGATTGTCCAGCTTGCAGGAAATACTAGCCACAACCACCTGTAAAGAGATGAAAAAAATGAAACAATAAAGCAATATAGACGGTTGTTCCACTTTGCATCACCGTTTCACTTCGCCCCATTCTCCCCCATTTCACCCCTTTTGAACCCGACCAACGCCATTATACATTACTTACTTCAAGAATTATCTTCGCCCAAGGAGACATCCAGTAATCGGCTGGTAATGAATTGAGTTAAATTCGAGGGTGGTTTACCCCCTACACCCCTTTTTCCGGAAGAAGCAAAAAACCGTATTTCCTACTTTTTCTCGCTCTTTCGATAGCCATTTATGAAATACGACCGTTATTTTTTTTCGCAAGAATTTTGTGGATTTCAACCCCCATCATTTTTTTGGAATTTACCCTATCCGAATGGAACCAACGCCATTTTTAATTATTTTTCTCATAGATTACCATGCATTTGGTTTCGTTCCAAAATTTTTAATGCCAATATATGAAACAGTCAAATGGTCCTGCAAACCTGTCAACTTTGAGGGTTGGTTTAACCCCCTAAAAGTCGTTATCCACAGGAAAAAAAAATGTATAACTTAGATTTTGATGGGGAATAACATATTTCAAGCTCATCGAAATCGGTGAGGGACACTCGGGACGGTTTCCTTGTCAGTCAATAATCATTCAATCAAAAACCTGCTCTCTGACTTCCATCTTATTTTTTACGTAAAAGTTCGGATAATGGAGTCGTAAAAAACCGTCATGATCACAACACCATGGTCGTAAGGCGACGGGGAAAGGGGGAGCGAGCGAGGCTTCCCCGGGACCGGCGCACAGGGAGCGAAGCCCTGTAGTTTTTGAATAAAATAACAATGATGATACAACGTACAATTAATTTAACCTAGGAGGGATAACCGTAGTTGTTGTAAATTTTATAAATTCTGTGAATTTTATGAATTTCATGAACGGGAAGACCTTTCCAACAAAAAAATTTGCAACGTCTTAAAATTTTTGATAACTATACTGAGAAAAACCAAGTTTTTTGAGAAATACGTCTTTACTTATATCAAGAAACTCGTGGCTTGTAAACTCTCAAGAGCAAAATATCTTGCACCAAGAAAAAAAAATTCCACCAAAAATTTTGTACTTCTTTTGAAGACGAGGACAATTTCTTGATGACAAGAAATTGATTTCTCATACCAAGTAAAATTGAATTAATTCATTTAATAGTTTTATAGCCTCACTTCTAAAATATTTCAATGTAAGAATCACTTGAATTAATTTGAGAACTCGTTTTCTTGACATGAACCAATTGCCCTCATCCTTCGGATAAATATCAAATTTCTTGGCGTTAGATTTTTTTTCTCAGTGTGAGATATTGTGCACTTGGTAATTTTCGAGTCATGAACTTCTCGATACAAGAAAAAACGTACTTCTCAAACAACTCTTGTCTTCTCAGTGTATCTTGTGACTTATTGTGAGAGACCGTCTTTTTTCCCTGGTATCATGCAACTAATTCCATTATTTTGACGAAAGTTTTTCAATTAATTGCTTTGTTGTCATACTTACCGAAGATTCTTTCTGGCCCGTTTGCGAATCTGAGATAGCCTATATTTCTGATGGAGCGTACAGGCTTACCACACAATACGTAACTGCCGGTGTCACGACTGCTTCCCATTTCGTTCTTCATTTCAACCACGGATGCATCATTTTTTTCAAAATTGTCAGGTTGGATGACCCGATGAAGGGCTCCCGAAACTGCCTTCCAGATGTCACTATTTTTGACCAAGATTTAGCTCTTGCGTTCGATTCTCAATGAATATGAAGGAATTTTCTGAAAGCTCGTCTATAATCGCGATTGAAAATCGTGTAGATGAGTGGATTTAACGCACTGCTGCTGTAACCGAGCCAAGTAATACAATACACAACACCGTTTGAGAGGCTGCATGCAGGGCAGAACGATACGATGAGGTACATGAGGAAAAACGGTAGCCAGCATATGATAAAGACGCCCACAATCAGACCAAGAGTTCTGGTGACCCGCTTTTTCTTAGACAAGGAAAGTCTCTGTCGTTCCTCGTTGAATTGGAAGACTGTAGCAGCTACCCTGTGACACCTGGTGTGTTCTGTTTTTTTTACGCGGCCACTGGGCGTGATTTCAGCGTCAACATTATCCTCAATGATAAATGGTGAAGGTTTAGCGCGAATACGAATTGCTGATCGTTCATTGTGATTGGATTCACTGCTCGCAGACTCTTCAACACCATTTCTGTGTCTTGTTAGGGTTACAACGGTAAGTCTACTCTGCTTGGCGCGCTGTCGGTGACGTTTTCGGGTGGTACAGACAATCCTGACGTATACGTAACTCATTAATAATAGTGGGATGAAAAAAGAACTCAGAAATAACCATATTACGTAAACCTTAGGAGTTGTCAGTAGGAATGGTGTTCCAGGCCATATCTCCTCTATCCAAACGTTCCATCCTGCTAATAGTGGTGCACTTATTATTCCCGACAAGATCCAAACACAAGCGATTATCTTTAATGCTTGCTTGCGTGTGCGCTTCTGGCGGTAATTTATTGGATCTGTAATCGCGTAGCAACGATCCAATGCTATTACACACTGGTTCAAGATACTTGCTGTGCGACAGAAAACATGGCAAATCAACCAAAGCTTGCGAAATTGTCAACCAAAGATCCATTTTCCCGAGAGGAGATAGGCACCGTGGATGGGCTCCACGAGAATTCCTTCTGCTAGATCTGCAACCGCCAGAGAGACGATGAAAAAGTTTTGGATGATTTGAAGTGGAGGATAGGTGATAAAAAAAAATATCACGAGTGCATTTTCCAGGACTGTTGCTGGAACGACCAGGATAGGGAGAGCAGCTAGTACTTCCCACGGTGGAAAGGTTGCACCTGCATCCTCATTACTACTGTTATATGCATCGGCGTATTTATCAGTTACGACCATCCTCTCAACGGATTCACCACTGGCGTTCATTCTGGTGCTGTCTTCTAAACATTCATGAGAGATATTCAATTAGTTTCAATAACGGTTTAGACGGGATTTCATTAAGTTAAAGTGTGTTTCTGATTCAAGAGTTATGTAGGATTAGATTACAATTGCAAGTACCTCACACAATTGAAAATACCCTGAAACCGCTATATTGTATTGACATTGCATCCTGTTCCCCCACCTCGATTATGTATTTTTTATCTGTTCTCCGTCAGAGAGATCCTTCTCCCGAAAAAAAACAGAAAATCAAAGTAGGTGCCGGCTCCGTTCTGTCCGAAAATAATTTGTTTCTCAATTTTTTTTCCATTTTTCCTCTTTGTTTGCTTCTAAAAGATTTCATGACTTGTAAATTCTTTGGCAAATAAACACGTTTGGAAAGCAAAAAAAATTGTCATGGGCCGAAAAAAGGGAAAATGGAAAAGAAAAATTTTTTAAATTGATTTTCGGATAGAACCGCGCTGACATCCACTTTATTTTTGGGTTTTTTCCATAGCAAGAGTCACTTCGATGAAGAAAAGGAAAAAGTTTGTAACCGAGGTGGGACTGTGCAGTCTTTAGGGGGCCGAACGTCTGGCGCTCCGTTTAAATCGTTTGAATTTGATCGAGAACGGCATGACTTGTTATTCCACTTGCTTCAATGGACATTGGGAGGGAATAAGCGTTTGAAATAGGGTTAATAAATGTTACACGATGTAATGATTGGACTTCACGTAATCAACAGAGTAAGGGTTAAATGTCACAAGGGTCAAAATTCGTAATGGTCTAACGTGAGAAGGATCACAAAAGAATGAAGAAATTTTATGGAGGTTGAATGTTGCAATGGTCAAACTCCACAAGGGTCAAACATCACCAGAGTCACGAGGGTTACAAGGATCACAAAAAGATGGTCAAATTTCACAAGAGTCCAACGTCACGAGGGTCACAAGGGGGTGGTCAAATTTCATGGGGGTCAAATGTCACGAGGTTCACAAAAAGATGGTGAAATTTCATCAGAGTCAAACGTCGCGAGGGTTATAAGGGGATAGTCAAATTTCACAAGAGTCAAACGCCACGAGGGTCAGAAGGGGATAGTCAAATTTCACGAGAGTCAATTGTCACTAGGGTCGCAAGGGGATAAACAAATTTCACAAGGGTCATAAGGGATCATTCTGGTTTAGACACTTAAAAAAAAGGACAATTAAATAAATTTATTTAGGCTTTTATTTATAGAAATAGTAATAATTTATTAAATAAGTCCAGTAAATATGATCTTAAAAAACACAAAAAAAAATTTTTCAACTAATATTTAACTCTTTATATTTATGAAAATGGCCGCCAATTGTAACGTCTCGCGGAATTGACATGTCNCTGTTTGTAGCTCTGAAGTGTTTTATTTGTCTTGGCCTTGAGATACTTGCACCAGTCAACCGAACAGTAAGAATGCTGTGGTTTGGAATCAGTAGAAATTTTATGGTAATATCCAGCCCAAATTTCTTTTTGCATATCTTCTATCGAATTTTTATTCCTTTGAACAGCTAACCCGTAATTATTTGATAATTCTTTCATCAATTTTATAGTTAGCTGCTGAGTTTTGACTACTGTAACTTTTTTGATGTTAGCTTTCTTTTTTTTGACAACTTTTGTCANCAGAAAGCGGATTAGACAAGAGACGGGTCGGCCGAGCGCGCACAGGTAGTAAGAGGGCTGCAGGTCAGTTGCGTCCCGCGGTCAAGAAAATGTCCGAGTTAGTCATAGCTAGACATCTCCAAATATTCTAAAAATTTTACACAATACTTTTGAATGTGTATCCTTTCCGAAAATGAAAAAAAAAATAGATTTTTGAAAAATTTTAAACCAGAATGATCCCATAAGGGGATAGTCAAATTTCACAAGGGTCACAAATGGATGGTTAAATTTCACGAGAGTCAAACGTTGCGAGGATCACAAGGGGAGAGTCAAACTTCACAAGAATGAAACGTCACGAGGATCACAAGCGGATAGTCAAATGTCACAAGGGTCACAAATGGATAGTTTCCCGAGAGTCAAACATCTCGTGGGTCACGAGGGTCAAACGGAGATGTTGAAATTTCACGAGAATCAAATAGTCCATACGCTAGCCCTGCTTCTGTATGCACAACGGAATTGAGTAAATGTTATTATTGGAATTTATGTTGCCGGTGATCTTGAATCTGAATCCGAAGTCGGTTTTTGCAATTTGTGGTCAAGTCTTCTTATTTATAACAATTCAATTGTTTAATACATCAAATCACAGAAACGGTGGCAGATAGGTAACAAAGTTTCAAACAAAAAATTTCGCAAATATAAAAATACATATTTTTTGTTATACGACTTTTTTCCCTAACTATGATAGATAAAGAATTATCGGGGGTAGGAGCGAAGTGGACGGTGCATTAGCCCCTGCGCGAGGTGTCGGCGATAAGCCCGTGGACCACCCGCGCTATCACTTGATGGGCTATATCTCTGTAAATAATGGAGATATAACAAAACAACACTGTTTTTATATTGGTAAAAGGCTCAGGTTCAGGATGATTCAATAAACAATAGATTCAGTGTATATACGTTTATTGTGCTATGTGGCTCACCAGAGATAGTCAAGTAATATATGTATAAAGGTTATGTAGATTTGCGGGTCGGTAACCCATACGCCGGTAGCTTGCACTCAATAATGTAGGAATTAACCTTTCCTCTGACACTCCCACTTTAATTCTTTCATGACATGTTTTTTTTTTGCTTGGAAAAAGAGTTAAGTACATGATGTACTGTATTTGATAGCTATAATTAGAGTCTTATCAGTAATCAGTCCGTTTGTTTTACTTGTTATGTTATCCTTAATACATTAGCCTAGTCAAAACTATTAATTTGAATCAATTTTTCATTTCAATCATCCCGATCATTTTTCTCCAACTTTCAAAACTATTTTTCAGTAGAGCCTTTGTAAAGATATCGGCTTGCTGAACTTCTGATTTTACATAAATTACATTGAATTTCTCTTCGTCGTATTTCTCAGAAATGAATTTATATTTTATGTCAATGTGTTTTCTTCTGGGTGATTGATAAATTCCATTTTTGATCTATTGGATAGCCCTTTGATTGTCTACTGATAGCAGGGGTGGCTTTATTTGCTGATTCAACAGGTCTTTAATTAAATTTTGTAGGGGGGACGCCAGGTGGCGCGAAGTGTGTTAGACGCATTCAGTATTGCTCTGCTGTTTTTTTAAGTTTTTAAAGTGTTGTGCCCAGTTATTGTTGTTAACTGCGTAGGGTGAATATACCTCTGACTCTGATACTTATTTTTTTTTATATGAAACTCTGTTTTTTAACACCCGGAAGTGCAGTTTTCCGTGTAATTTAGTGGGGAATATTTTGGTGAGGTTAGCTTGGTCGGCTTGGTTGTTGGGATGTGTTGGTAATGTCGACCGCCGAAATCGACACTATCAGTGTACCAGTTAGTGACATCTCACAATTACGCAGTGAACCAGTTCCCATTGTGATCCCCTCCCGGATCGGTATTCCGGTGATAACGCTCTCTACCTGTTCAATACCAGTTGCTAGCCCCGCTCCTTCGCCCGTCCCACTTATACCGTGTGTCAGCAGTGACAAGGCTGCCAAGAAAAATAGAAGAGGTCGGCCGGCGAAAAGTGTGGCATCCGTAAAGAGAAAACGTCTTACAGACCTGTGTTTTGGCTTTGACACCTCCCCGAACCCTGCCAAGAAGAAATCCACACAAACGACCCTTTTAGCGTGGAATCCAGCCTCTGTTACAACTATGCCTCACAACGAACAACCCCCGTCTCTTTCAAACCTGTCTGTCAGTCTTGCAAGAACAGCTGACACGATTAAACAGACTGGCGCTCTGAACTGTCAGTCTGGCGTTGGTGAGCCTTCAATCAAAGAGGTTTTAGCTATGCTAACACAAATGAGCAGTGAGAGTAAACAACGGCATGAGACTCTGAGAGCCGACATGGGCAGGGGCAATGTGGAGATTAAAGAAGAAATAGCAGGTATAAATGAAACTATAGACAAATTTAAGTCCGAGGTTGCTGAGTCTGATAGGAGAACAAAACACAGAATTGAGGCACTTGAGGCTGAGCTGCTCAAATTTAAACAAGAGGTTGGAAGTCAGATTTTTACCAGTGGCCTGGGTGATAGGTTTAACAGATTTGAGCAGGAACTGGCTGATCTGAATCGAACAGTTTCTACTGCCAGTTCACAATCAAATCCGGCGCTTATACAACAAGTTGAAGCACTCACGAGACAGCTGGAATCCCAGGATAGGAATGCCCGTAAAAACAATATTATCATCAGAGGTTGGAAAGAGCACAACTCCTCCACCTTACAGCACGATATCGATGTCTTCCTGGCTGAGAGTTTCTTCATCACTGATTCTCCAACAGACTCTGCTGTCTCAGCAGGGCGTGACAAGAAGGTTGTTATTGTGAAACTAAAAAGGTTCTCTGATAAACTAAATATCTTCCGTACCAAAAGGACGATTCTCCAAGCAAAAGATGTGTTTATTGAAAGTGATCTCACTAATTCTGAAAGAGATGTCCAGGCTAAACTGAGGGATTATGCCAGAAGAGAGCGTTTGAACAATCGTGTTGTGAAAGTTCGCCATGGAAAAATCGACAAGTCGGTCTTCTGGAATTCCAAGGGGTTAACAATCTTTCGCAACTGCCAGACCCCTCAGAGCATGGCCTTATCGGCATTAATGAGACTTTTCTTCGTCAGGAGGTGAAGCACCTTCCTTCTAAGTTCAAAGACTTTCACGTGATTTCTTCTCCAGCAATCAGGATCAGTTCCCATGGGAGAGGCAGTGGAGGTATTCTGACTCTGGTCAACAAGGCTCTGGGCGAGCCACATCTTCTGCATCGATCGGAGAACTGGATTTTCATGAAACTTGTCTTAAATGAACAGTCTTTTATTTTTGGTACTATTTACTTTATTCCTAAAGTTGATATTGAGCCGGCGCTTGAGCTTCTTCAGAG